AAAATATCTAAAGCAAACTTGATAATGCTATGAACTGAATGTGTCCATCCAAAGTTCTTACCTTGAAATTGTAAATGGTAATAGAAGGTGGGCAGACATATCCCTGCCTTAGGAATTTGCCCTGGCTCCCTCTGCCTGGACCTCCCTTCTCTCGGATACTTCTTTGGCCGAAGCCCTCACCTCCTTCAAGTTTTTGTTCAAATCTTGCCTTATAAGACCTGACCTGACCAGTGTACATATCTTCTTCCTCATCCAGCCCCCGGGACCTCCCAGACCCTGCTCTACTTTTACTTTTACACAAAGAATTTACCAGTTTCTAATATGCTCTATATTGTCCCTGCTTGTTATTTGCTGCTTGTCTTTTCACAGAAATACAGTAAGTTCTACTATGGTTAAGGTCACCGCTGTTGTACTCATTAACATATTCCAAGTGTCTGGTGTAATGCCTGACACATAGCAGATGTTCAGAGGCTGAAAATGTGAATGAATAAATAGATTATACTATTCTTATGATACTATACCAAGAATAGATTAGACGATGCTATATTATGTATATTATTTACATCTTGACTTTTCACTCAGCAATATATTAATTCACTCAGTGAATATATCTTGCAATTCTTGGAAATATTTTATCAGCACATAAATTTTTTATAGAAGCTTATTATTTCTTTGAAGAGATATATCATAGTTTACCTAACCAGTTCTATTTAGATTTTTCCAATTTTTTTTTAATATACTATTCCACACATTTCCATGTGTAAGAATATCTGTGGGATCAACTCTTACAAGTGGAAATTGCTGAATCAAAGGGTATACACTTTTTAATTTTGATATTACCAAACTGAATTCCATAGACTTTGTACTAATTTATGCTCCCTTTGAAATGTCTGATGATGTCGTTTTCTTATACTTTCGCTGACACAGTTTCTTAATTTTTTTATCTTTGCATCTAATAGGTGAAAAGTTTCTCAATGTAGTTTTTTTTTTTTAATAGAGGCATGTTTTATTTATCCATTTTATTTATTTGTTTGTTCGTTTTGTTTATACATGCACTGGGTACAGTCAGAAGCGCAGGAGGGTGAGAGAATTCACCAGAGCCAGAGCGGGGAGCAGAGCAGGCAGAAGGACCGAAGAACACCGCTGAGGGGAGCAGCGGGCGGCTGGAGAGGTCTGCGCGCCATGTGGGACCCTCCTCAGGTGGCCGGGGAGCAGCCGGGGATCGAACAGGCGCTTCAGAGGCTGCGGGCAGCTTCGTAACCCAGCGCTCAACAACTGCGCCACCGGGGAGGCCCTCTCAATGTAGTTTTAATTTACATTCCATTTGAATGATTGGAACATTTTTTTACAAGTTGAAATGATGTTTGATACTTCTTCTAATTTCTATTATGTTTTTGATATTTTTCTAAAAGTTGTTGATCTATCTCTGATAGAAAATATATGTAGTTTCTTTTTGACTTTATAATTTTTGGCCAGCAGAATTAAAAAAAAAATATGAAGACTAATTTATCATTTTTATTAATACTTTTTTCTTATGGGTTTTGTATCAAAATACAGAAGGCCTTCCTAAATTTGATTTAAGTATTCTGAAATTGTTTCTACTAATACTTTTGCATTTTTGTTTTTACTTTTAAACCTTTAATCCACCCAGAATATATTTTGATGTAATGTGAGATAGTATTCAGTAATTTCTGTCCTCAAAGACTACCTAATTGCTCCCAAACTGTTAAGTGAATAAATTATCATATATATCTGTATACATAATGTACATATGGAAAATATATATGTGTGTATATACACATAGAATATATATGTGTATATATACTTAGCCATCTTTGCCATATGCTAGCTAAATTATAAATGAACAAATGCATTTATCTATTTCCGGAAATTCATTCTGTGCCCTTGAGTCTTGTGTCTATTTGTGCCCAGGACTACTGTTTCAATTTCTATTGACATATAGTGAATAGCTACTGCCTAGTGTTACATTTATTGTCAGAATTTCCCTAAATATTCTTGCTGTATATTTTTCCACCCAAAATTTAGACTCAGCATATCTATTACATCTTAAACAATACCAAGACCAGGACCAAGATCATAGCAATAGCAAACTTGTGTAGTTTTGTGGATTTCTACTCTATATGTTCCAGTTTCAATCTTAGCTATTGCCTTTGGCATACTGTAATCACTGAAAAACAGAGCCTTTTCCTGTTTTGTCTCTGAACTCATTCTTTTGGGACTTTTGGTACCAGGGGCATAGTTTTAGCATCATGACTGCCTGGGGCTATTGTGTTGGGATCTGAGTCTCAGCAATCTGGTATACCTTCATTAATTTTTTTTTATCAGTTCATGCCACAGCATAATTTAAAGTGGTTTGTTAAAAATTATAAGTGACTTAGCAGAATATACCTTTTATTAACATCTTTTAGAAGTTATATAAATATAAAACTTCTTTTACAAGTTTTATAAGTCTGAAACAATCTTGTAGTCATTTAATCCAAACTATCATGATTCTGTCCTTTAAATTTGTAAGTAAATTTGTAAGTATACTTTTCACTTGAGTTCTTAAAGTTTCAGACAAATGACTGGCTTCTATGCAACCCCTCAGCTGAAGCACACTATCCATCTTGAAGTTTCCATTCCTTAGCAAAGTGCTAACAGCTGTAGTCAATAAAAATGGTAGCATTTTTATTGGTTCACAGAATTTGACAGATTGGAAGAGAAAAAGGATTTGGGTAAAAGAACTCTTAAAATAAATATTATTAAGCATTTCATAAAATTAAATTTTTTAAAAATAAAATAAAAATAGCCTGCCCATGATTAACTCAAAATATTTGAAAATCTATAAGCAGTAGAAAAGCTATCATTCATAGCCACATTCAAAAACTAAAGAAACAAATTATGGTGAAGTTGGTACATTCTAAACTTAGAATAAAAGGCTGTCAGATCAGTGTGAGAAATGCAGAACCACATATGACTGTGGTCTCGTTTCTGTAGAAATGAAAAATGATGATTGTAGGGTAAAGAAAATATCAGGCTTTTCTGCCCTTCCGCCATCAGGATAGATGATGGATCCTTGTCCTGAATGCATGCCTGATGGCGGGCACCTGGAATAGGGTGTGGGCATAGGTAAATGGGATTCAGCTGAGCTAAGACTGTGCTTTTAAGGGCGGGGTCATGGGGACGCCAGCAGCAGCAGTAGAAGCCGAAGCCGAAGCCAAAAGAGAAGCCGAGAAGCAGCAGAACGAACTCCAGAGAGCCCAGATAGAGTGAAGACTTGCTGGGGGCTAGGAGGCCAGCAGCCAGCACCCCTGCCTGCCATATGCCTGGTGAACCCCAATAAAAAACCTGCAAAACTACTGAGGACTCTGACTCCTCCTTTACCCGGTCTGCATGGGATCAGAAAACCTGCACTGTGCCCATGTCCTGCCCTTACAATGATAATTAAGATTTTGAGTATTGTCTTTATCGCATGTATTATGCTAAGCAGTCTATTGAATCTTTATCCAGACTCAGTCACTCTTTCCTCTCTCTGTCCTTAGCATTTCCCCTTGCCCTTTGATCCCTGTGGACATTATTCTATTGGTGGAAAAGTGAGACGCAAGCTCTGAGTCAGGGAATGATGTCCGGAATGGACTCCACGCCCATCTCCACCCATAGGAGATCTCAGGCACAGAAAAGTAGAAACCTCGATTTCATTTTGCACTTGGCTTTTCCATTCTCACCTTCAAGCTGCAGCGAATTGGTCTCTCTAGAAACTTCAGGGAGAATCTGTCCTTGTTAACATTCTATTGGTGGGAGGGAATCCCACCAAAAAATCACCTTGGCATCAGGAGAGCTCCTCAAACACATTCAGGGAGGTTGTCTATTCTGCTCACCTTCGTTCTTGGTTCCCAGCCCATGTCCAGGAAGAGTTAGGGCTCTCCACAATAATTCAGCATTATTCACCTAAAAATTCCAATGTGTTTTGAATGCAATGCATACTTGACACCTATTCAATATTTATATATGCAGTAAATTAGGTGGCTGTGGAAAATCCTTGGACTTCTCAAACAATTTTGTGGATTTTACTTTTCTGAGCCTTAGTTCCCTCATTTTCAAAATAGAGGTAATAATATTCTTTATAGGGGTTGTTGTGAGATTTTTTAGCAAGGAAAAACTGGTACAATATCTGAAACCTAGCAGGGGCTCAATAAATGATAAAGAGCTTTCTTATATTTTTCATTCTTTTTTTAATCCATCAGGGCCATCCTTACCAGTATTCCAGACCATCCTTACCAGTACCATAACAGATGGCTGAGAGGGCCCATAAAATGGAATACTGGAAATTCAGGTGAGGTTTCATTTTCAGTCTACTGTCATGTTTTCTGCTTTTAGGGAAATTATCCATCTGCTTTGAAATTTATGCAGTTAATACCACTGTACACAATTCAGAGGCATGGATCACACCCAAATTTTTAAGACACCAATATAAGTTGGGGTTAATAATTTAAGGATGTTATATTAGTTTTTTGAAGGTTTTATCACTTGGGTTTTATTTTTTTACAATTTTAATTTAGTAGATATTCACCTGTATCTATCCTTAGTATTGTAGTACTTAAGGATTTTCTGCATTTTGACTCAAAGGAGATGAGCTCAAAGCACTCCTGAGCTTGGGTATAAACTTGAAGATTCCTCATTCCTGAGACAGGGAGTATGATCTCCAAAGACACATATTTTCTTTCACAATGGGCAAATATAAGTCAGCACTTTCTGAATTATTTTATATAGGGCTTCCAGAAATTGAAAATTTATCCTACTGACTTTGAGGGAAATTGTTTTTTTCCCATATGCCATCACAGTTCACCAAGTAATAACCTCTGTGCTGAAAGTTCTCACATGTTTCTGTAATGGGCCACTCTAAGAACATGTCCCTTTAATTGTTTTCAACTACAACAAATACCAAGATACTTACATCTGGTCTAGACATGAATAAAGCCAGATACACTTTTCAGATTGTTCCCATACTGATCAGTTTCGATTCCTGTTTTTTCTCCTTAGACTTGGAATTCACTCTAGCCTAGAATGTGCATTTGAGTATTTTTTAATCCATCACAATGCTCACAACCCAATAGTACTCTGCATATAGCCAGAGATCAATGAACGGTTTTTGAGTGCATTTATTTAATCTTTGCAACAAAGTCTTTTGTAGTGAAATTTCAGTCCAAGAGTTCTAATCAAGAGTTGTGTCATTCTCCTGAGCAAGATTGGCAGGTGTTTTCTTTCTTTCTGGCATAATAAAATCTGCATGCCCTGGGGAAAGCTTAGGAAATGTATAATTGATGTATTTCTGAAATGCAGCCCTTGTTTCCTGTAATTCCTCCTCCAGGAAATCTTTCCAATTTGTCATAATTCCCAGTTGTTTTGCTATAGACAGCAGCTCCCCCTGAGTGTTCACCAGTTTATCCATCACATTTTCAAGCGATGCCTGATGTGATTTCTCTGCTTCTTGAAGCACTTCCTGAGCCTCTTCTTGCTTCTTTTTCTGAGCCAAGCAATAGTAGATGTTTATTTCATGTTCTTTGTTCTTTATCATTTGGTTTACACTCTTCTTCTGATCCTTAATAACTGTCATACCAGTAGCCATAAGTTCCTCCAGTGCTTTCCTATAAAAGGTAACATGGATATGAATTTGTAGGCTAGATGGGTGAGCCACTAAAAACAAAAAGATTTTGTCTTTAGCCACAGAAACATGAAAAACTCATGATGAGTCGCCAGTCTGAGATAGGCTGGTGGATGTTAGTTTTTGAATTGAATTAGCACTTAACAATCAAAAAGCATTTGTCAGAGGAGAAGGTTGCCCATCAACCACCCTGCTATGGGTTTGGCTGAGACCACTCGTGAGTATCTGATGGTAACTTTAAGAATCTAAGTCAAATCTGGTCAGAAAAATGTAAATGCAGTACTTTCCTCACAATCCCCTTCCCACTACCTGTGTGTGTATCACCTATGCTAAAGAGGTGGTATCACTGAACTGGCTGGAGCTGCAGGCTCATTCTTATTTTTTGCAAAATAAAAGTCCTACAGGACTTACCTATGACCCTGTTATAAACAGTTCTAACAACGAAGATTTTGCCTATACTTATATACAAATACGTTTGTTTGTTATCTCAAGCAGCAAAACAAAAGGGACAAGTCCAAGACTTTAAATTTTTTAAAAACATATATGTAGATGATCTGATTTTTGTAAAAATTTTTTTGGATTATACACATATATATGGCTGTACATACATAAAAGGGTACGGAAGGATACTGTGCCATTATTTAAAATGATTGTTTCCATGAGACAGGGAGTGAATAGGGAAGCAGCAAGTCAAAACTTGGCAATTTTCATGCTATGTATTTCCATAAGGCCAACTATATGTTGTCATAGCATAACTGAATGTGTTAAAAAGAAAAAGATCAAAAAGTTACATACACAATAACAACAGTTTGTGATATAGGTTACAGAACTTGAAGATTAAGTTTATGTGTTTACTGAAAAATATTTCTTGATTAGTCTCCTCAGCCTCTTACAACTGGAGTTACAGAATGAAAACACAATATTTAGTATAACAGATATCGCTTGAGAGGGGGAGAGAAAGGAAATGCAACTGATGAAGAATACCTGGTAGCTTGAGAAGAGCTAGCAATTTTCAGTCCGTTCAGATGAGTGGTAGGTCTTTGAGTATTCATATTATTATTTTTCTTTGAAACGTGCATATACACATATATAATAGTATATTAATGTGTCATTCTCTGTTATTCATAATAAAAATGCAAAAAGACAAAAACTGGGACATGCCACCTATTAGCCTCAACAGTCTCTCTTTCTCTCCAAGTGGATTTTGATAGAGTAAGATACTTATCTGCAAAGGCATTTTCTAGAATACCTTTTCTGGGCCTCAATTGCTTGCTGGGCAATCAGTCTTTCTTCAGCCCTGGCTTTCTCCACAGCGAGGACCTTCTCCCTGTGGCACTCCATCATGATCCTTTGGATTCTATGGACCATGCGCTGTTCCGCAGCCATGTGCTCTCTCTTCATTTCATCTTCCATGTCTTGATGCACTTCTATCTTGGTTTTAGCTGCCATTTCCTTAAGCAACAGCAAAAATAGGTTTAGATGTTACCACTTTGATTTTTTAAAATGCATACTAAGAGGTTACTAAAATAATAGTTCATCAACCTGATAGAATATCACAAAACCAGGAAGGCACAAACTATATAGCATAAGTATGTGTATAGATAATATGAAATATATTTGGGTTACAGGGGAGGATTAAAAGTCTTTTTGCCCTGGAGCTTCCATAGTGGCACAAGGGGTTAAGATGCAACCTATGAAGCTATCAGCAGCCACTGCAGCACGAGTTCAATCCCCGGACAGGGAGCGACCCACATGGCGTAGCAGACCTCTCCTGACTCGCCTGCTGCTACCCCTCAGCAGTGTATTTCAGTCTGCCTGTTCTGTTCCCCACTCTGTCTCTGGTGAATCCTCTCATCCCCCACATCTCTGCCCTGTACCCCAGTTCTTGTATGCATAAATAATAAATAAATCTTTTTTTAAAAAAAATCCAGGTCTTTTTGCCCTGGATAGTCCAAATATGCTGTAGTGTCATATTATAGATCATTAGAAATACGTGATTCTACCACAGGAATTCAGTCCTGGAAAATGGTGGAAATAATGACTATGCCTTCTGAGTGTCTCCTGGGTAGGAGGGAACTTGAGGCTCAAGCAGAAAACAATTGAACATTACTGCAGTCGTAGGAACCTGCTTGCCAGTCCCACTGTCATTTCAGCATTCCAGTTCACTCCTTCCACCAAGTGAAGAGATGAAAATACTATCATCATTTTGGAAATTTCTACTAACATCACCGTCCCAGGCACTCTGCGAGGTGTCCTACAAGATGCTATAAACACAGGGCTGGAATCCTTGTCCTCAAGGGCTAACTGTCCAGCAGAGGAGACCAATGACCTAATGGTGCCACAAGCACTTTAATAGAAACATAAGCAAGAAAAGAGGAGCGAGTAATTCTACCACCCTGTCTGTTGAACCCCTGATGGAGGCAGCTCAATTTATAGTGTCTCCTGAGTGGACCCTACAACTGAAATTGAGGAAAATCAAGAAAACTGTAAGATTTAAGGGAAATTGAAATAGAATAAATTTCAACTGAAATTACTGTAGCTTTAAAAATATGTTTCCACAATTAAAATACTTATTTGACTTTGTTTGAGAAGGAAAGTTTTCAACTTCTCCCTTTGGCTACTGCAATGGTGAAAAATTAGACAACAGAAATCAAGTTTAAGAACTTCTCCAGAGTGGCCTCATTTCATATATTTAGAAAATGTATTTCAGGAGAATGTTGGCTGTTTAGAAATGCTAGCTGGGTTTTCCATTATGCAGAAGCTTTGTTTTTTAAGCCCTAATACTTTTTGACAATAAAATATTTTAACAGAAATATTTCTAAATGTATTTAACATTTACCTTACTACATAAAAAGAAAAACGAACACACTAACATTTCTGGTTATCCAGATTGAATAGATAAAGATGAAAGACTACAGGCCTAGATACTTTGTATTGCACTTAATTATTGTATAAGTTCAAGGGCTATTTGTCTCTGTTAAAAATGACCCCATGTGCTTTGCTCTTTCAGATTTGACATCTGATTTTGTAATTTTTCTTGTTCTTCACATGTCATAGGGATAAAGACCTTCTGTTGTAGCTGCTGTCAATGAACTTCTTTTTGTCATTTCTGGTTTTTGGCCTTTAATCTATTTTGGATTTGTAAAATCAAGCAACCATGTCTGTTGGGTTCAGGCTGTCAAATAAGTATAAATAAAAATTGAGTGGGGAAATGGAGAGATTCTGCTAAAAGTCTAAGTTTCTATTTTATAGTCAGAGAGAGGTTTACTTCTTATGGGATATTTTAAGTTAATTTGAGGTTTTCAAGTATATTCTCAGTAATTGATACTCTCAAGTGTTAAATTTTAGATAAATGAAGGCTTATAAAATTTTGTTTATTTGAATCATTTTTAAATATTTAAAAAATTACATCCCAGTCCCTTATTCTGGCTCAGTTGTAAACTAGGATCCAGAGAATTAAATCTAATACCTCTTCTATGTGATAGTTTAAAAAACTAAAATCATTTTCATGCCTCACATAGCAGATGGAATACATATTTAAAGCTATCAAACTAATTCAGTGACCTACTGTTGGTTAGTGTTCTTACTCAAATTACTACCAATTAAATTACTTTCACTGAAATGCATTTTGAGTGTGTTATAAGAAACATATTTTGAGATGTTATAAGAAACGGCCTCATGAAATCCATCATGTTTACAGTACAGATGTTTGATAGACACTTATTACGCACACCGTCTCCCTCAGGAGAAGTTTCTCCCAAGTATCACATTTAGGAATATCTGGCTTTTCTAATGACCTGATTCATGGCATTTCCCTCTGGGCATTGACTGCCAATTAGTGATAATTGCACAGGTGTACATACAAGACATACATACAGTTTCAAGTTTTAAATTAGTGCCTGACTTCATTTCCTACTCTAGTTTTCCTTTTCTTACTTTCTCTTAACTTTTCTCAAGTACTTTTTAATATTATTACGTTTGAATAAGATAATATAAATATCTTCTCAAGATACTATCCATTGGATAAATCTTGAAATTTTTCTTATCAGCAAACATCTGAGACCTACCACAAATTCCTAGCATCAAATTAGAGCACTACCTGATGGCCTGTACATATCAGAATAGTATTTAGCTCTCAAAGAACTTGGTTTTCTGCTATATAATCTCAAACTTTTTTTAAAATTTAATTGATTTTTTTTTTTGCATAGAAGAACTGGGGTGTAGGCCAGACATACAAGGGGTGAGAGGATTCACCAGAGACAGAGTGGGGAGCAGAATGGACAGATTTACTGAGATACACTGCTGAGGGGAGCAGTGGTTGAGGCAGGAGAGGTCTGCTGCGCCGTGTGAGTTAACTCCCTGACTGGGTTTCAAACTCAGGTCGTAGCTATGATAGTACATAGAATTAATCCCTAGGTCACCAGGGAGGCCTTGGTAATCTCAAACTTTAATATGTATGAGAATCATAAGGGCTATTGATTGAAAACTCTGCCAGTAGCTCAGAGGGTCAGGTCAGAACCTTATAATTCAACTAATGTTATGAGTCCTTCTGAGACAAATCATTAAAAAATTCCTGAAATGACAGTATAAATGTAAATTCCCAAATTCTAGATAATAACTTTAGAAAGGTCAACCTCATTTTAAATTTCTTAAGATTTCTTCTATTTTAACATTAAGTACATCAACGGTACCAGAAGGCTGTAAGGGGTATTTAATGGAAGACTAGGATGTGAGCTCTTTGAAACTGGCATCACATCTGTTGTTATCCTTGTATCTTCACAACCTAATGCAGGAGTATTATTCAAAATGTGTATCCTGTTTTGGCAGGGTTCTAAGAGGCTCTGTCAAATCCCTTACCGATCTAAAGGGCCGCCCTTTTAAAGCCAGATTCAAGGAGGTCCAGGGGTCTGAAGGGAGCAACCAGGGTGAAGAAAGTGTTAGGATCTTAGGGAGTGGCAATTTATCAATTGATAGAAAAGTATTTTAATAATTTAAGAACCAGCCTGGCTATTCTAGCATATGCCAGTTGAACAGCAGAGCTGCCAAGATAGGCTATAAATGCTTTTCACATTCAAAAGAGGGGAAGGGCAATGGATCACTGCAGCTAACCCTTTAGGGATGATTGTTCACTGGAATCCACCAGGAAGGGTCCCACTTCCTTGGGATGGCACTTCCTTTCCAGCCAGCAAGTTTTTGGAGCCCAAGAAAGAATGATCCACTTAATCTTACCTACTACAGGTCTAATATATGTAGGTATCCACTATATATGTAGGTATTCACTGCTGAAACTGTGAATAAATGAGTCCATGGTCCTTGAATTGTTTATTAATTATGGTCTTACTAAGTTAGGTCAAACCTGGCTCTAGACTTCTACTACTTTCCCTCCAGCCTCTGCCCTTAAATCATCACATCTTCACCATGTCCCATCCTGTCGCTTCCAAGGCCAACATGTGAAAATAGTTATGTCTCCTTTTCCTTTGGGCAGATTTTGTAACTGAGGTACTGAACTAAATAATGAAACCCTGGGTCTCTGCCTGGAAAGTTTGCTAATTACCTAGCTGATGCAACTTGAATAAGTTACAGGTTAGAAAGAGTTCTTGTTTTCTGATCTCTGGTCCTGAAGGAACTACTTGAGAAACAGCTCAGGTGTTCCTGTTGGCACTGCAGTATCTACAAATTTAGGACAAAGGATGCAATCAGAGAGCCCAGGAGAAGGAAGAGACTAGCTGATTCATCCTTCCACTGCTTTTGAGCACTTTCTGAGCATAGGCTCTGTGCTGTGCAGCAGGGCTAGAGTAGGTAAGGAGACACACATGCTCTTAAAGGGGCTGCAGCCACGTGGGAGGCAGACATTCAACACGTAATCACACAGTTATTTAACCACAACAGTGACTTATGAAGGTGCTGTGAAATTGGATAGAGCATGGGCAACAGAGAAGAATAAGTTGGGTAAAGGTTCCCATAAGTAGTAATGATATTTAAGATCCGATGAAGTGTGGGGATAGCATTATGGGAAAGACCCCGAGATAGGAGGAAGTTGATGTGTTCAAATTCTAGATCCCAAAGAAGGGCTGTGAGAGGAGGAAAGAGAGCCAGTGGCAAGAAATCTCAAGAGACAAGCCAGCAGGGGTGACTCCTTCAGGTCTTGGAGCCCTGAAAAAGTTTGTGTTCATTATAGCAAAAGCTATGGGATTTTCCTGTACGCATTCAGCTCTGTTGCCATAGATTCAATGTCTCTTTTGAGAGACTCCTGGATCTCCCAACCAACCTCCATGGAATATCCATCTAGATTATTGCACATATTATATTGTTTTTCTCTGATACCCTTGCCAGAGCATTTTACAAACTTGTCTTAAAAGACAACACATAAGGGCCTCCCCGGTGGCGCAGCGGTTGAGCACTGGGTTGCGAAGCTGCCCGCAGCCTCTGCGGCACTGGTTTGATCCCTGGCTGCTCCCCGGCCACTGGAGGAGGGTCCCACATGGCACGCAGACCTCTCCTGCCGCCCGCTGCTCCCCTCAGCAGTGCTTCTGCCTACTCTGCTCTGCTCCCCGCTCTGGCTCTGGTGAATTCTCTCACCCTCCCGCGCTTCTGACTGTACCCAGTGCATGTATAAACAAAACAAACAAACAAATAAATAAATAAATAAAGCATGCCTCTATAAAAAAAAAAAAAAGACAACACATAAGCTACTATAAAAACCTTTAAGTTTTTTTGATGTTCCTCTTCCAGAATCTTTATGTAAATTTTGTGTCTGTCATTTGCTTCTTCAAGAGCTTTCTCCACTGCTAGTTTTTGGCGTTCATCAGCCTTTGAAAGAAAGAGTCCATTTAATTATTAATGTATCAAGTTTTCCAACAGTCTTTGCTATCATGTCTGTTTTACACTTGATCTTAGCCAAAAGGCTGAGAAGTGATATATTATTTCTGTTTTATAAAGAAACTTAGAAATAACATTCTTAGCACTGTGATTTGTCCTGCCTCAAGAGTTTTAGTTCTCTTTAGGAGGGCATGTATGTCATTCCATCTATGACTGCAAGAGGTGGGCAGTGGAGGATTGAAATTCTCCTTAAGTGTCTGGGATCTGCCTATGAGCCCCAAGACACTCAAACTGCCCCATGAAACTCAGTCAATTGGACAAGGTATCAAGGACTTCAGAGAGAAGCAAAGCAAGTTGAAGGGATGAGAATTAGTTGGGATGAGGCATTTAGAAAAAATAGGCACTTATGCAGGAATATTACACCCTACATATGGATGGTCTGCATGTCAAACATTAAGCAATAATAGACATTTCCAAGGATGGCTTTTTAAAAAAGCTTGAGTCCAGTGAGAATGCAGGGAGCAAGAATGATCCATACATGGGGTAACTTAGAAAGAAGTTCCTCATGTCTGCTTTTAACTCATTACCCGGTGTATGCTGGGCACATTATTTCATTGAACTCTCTCAACAAACCTAGAGAGCATTGCCATTCCTCTTACATTTAAAGAAGTCAAGACTATGGAGATAAAGTACTTGCCCAAGATCCCACGGACAGTCAAGACTCAGAGTTAATTCTGCCTGATCATATTGTTTGGGACAAATCCAAAAATTAAGAGAACTGTAAAGATTCATTTAGGTTGATTTCCATCTTATTTTACCTTAATCCATACTTCAGCTTCTGCTTTTTTAATAAGTTCTTTGACTAAGGCCTCTTGAAAATGCTCTTCTCTACTTAGAATATCTGCTCCGATATCTATTTGGAAAGAAACAATTACAAATATCTGCAGACTGTTTCTTTGTTTTCCTTTTCACTATTACGTAGTTATTTAATAATTATCAAAGCGATGTATTCTTTTAGGAGACATCAATCTTTTCTGTAAAGGTACCAATGAAAGAAGTAACTTTCCCTAACTGACTAGGTGGGAACTCACAGCACTATTAGGTCACTTGTTCCCTCCATCACAACCAATTAACATGGTAGGCAACTGGGGGAGTAAAGTGGTAGAAAGGAGAACATTTTACACCCCCAAAGTAGAATGGTGAGTGAATATTCAAGAGATATTCAGTTCCTCTTTCCCTCATCCTGTTTGGAAGCTGGTGTTACCTCTGTCAGGCAAGTGTAGCAGATTGCTTTCTTTAATATGCTATATGCCTTTTGTTAGCTTGTGCATTTTCATGGGGTTAGCTGCTTGAGCAGAGCAAACAAAGGGTTTAGCACTTCTGTCACTGATCTCATTTAATTCCCAAAATATTCCCATAACACCTCGTAACCTAGATAAGAAAATAAAAGCCCGAAGAGATTAGAGAACCACACAATATCAGATGGCCAGGAACAGAGCTGGACCCGGTGATAAATTCTGAGCTATTTGAGCTGGGCACAGGGTTTTCTCTATCTTCTTCACCTGAATGGGCTGTCAAAGTTGGCTCAAGACCTGTACAGGAGTGATAGATGAGCACTTTGAACCCTGAAATCACATGGAAGAAAGAATGATCTTTCTCTCCAATCCAAATTCTTACAGGACATATTCTTTATTCCATTCAATTCTCACATCATAGGTTTGCTGACTTACTATTAGCTTATTAGGTGATTATGTCTTGAGATCAACTTCCTAAAATTACAAGCACATCTTGTACTGCAGTTCTGCATCTCTTATGGTACCTCACTTGGCAATAAGCATAGAGTACATTGTTGACACATGTGCTTGCCTCCCCATCATCTCTTTTCTCCCTCTTGTAACAGGACCCATTTCTCTCATTAACTTCCCTCTCTCACTTCAAGCACTTCCCTCTGTCACTTAAAGCAGCCAACCTGCTTGGCACATGTCCTTACCCCCATCCTTCAAAGTAACTGGCCCAGAATTGGATATTGCTCAAGCCTGGTCAAACAGACTGCTTTCTAGGATTTTGCATACAAATGTAAGGAGGACATGACTCTTTTTCCCCTGAAGTTTCTAAGCTGGAGGTGGTTGATGCCTATAGCTGTTTGGGACTACTTCATCTCCTTTCCCAGTGAGCCTGGCTGCAGTAATGATTAAGCCAACTCACTATGAAAGGAAGCACAAACTGACTGAATTCTCTGATGCCAGATCCCTCCTGGATTTCTCTACTAAAAGGGTTGAGAAATTCCCTTTTATGTGTAGTCTAGTCTGAGTTGTGTTGCTGTTACCTGTAACTAAAAATACATGTTTGGTGATCATATTTTTGCTACTAGAGAATTTGTGAGTCTAAAAACAGGACATCACATATTACAGTAGAGATAGACATATTCTTCACATGCTTGTGCATAGACATAATTATGAAACTAGGAAGAAATGTGACTAAGCAGAGACCATCAACATGCTGCATTTCATAAAAATGTGATACAAGTATAGACTGCTATTATTCCTTTTTTGTGCTTAAAGCCCATTACTTTACATTAGTTATTCTCATTTTAGATTATATATATCAATTTAGATTATATATACACACACACGCACATATATATATACACACATATATATATAGCAGGATCCCTGCATAGCTTTGAAAAAACATACCTGTTAATCCTGTAATGGTTGCTTCCTGGAAGGTCCTATTACATGGAATCTCTTAGTTTTAGCTCCAGGAAAGAAGTTTTTCAAGTCAGATCAAATTATACCATCTCTTTGAAGCCTTCAGTCCTCAAGATCTACACACCTCAAGATCCCAGTATCATGAACTAAGTTTGTTCTTAGTCCTCATTTCACTGTCTTTGGTGCTGCCCTATTGTTGAAGCTGAGAACAGTTTCCATTAGGAAGTGGAGATGCAATAGCTTTCTTGTTGGATGTTGTTCTCAGCATTACAGTCATTTGTGCCATGTGGGTATATATGCATGGAAGAGAAATGGACAGATGTCACTTTGAAGGGTCTTCTGAAACACACCTTGCCCTAAAAATCTTTGTGCTATTAAGGTTAAAAGTGAGCTCTGGTGTCTAAAAGTTCCCAGGCAACAGTAGATAGGGAACTTTCACATTCTTAATTGTTTCTCAATAAATGGGAACAAATTGATATACACGGGGAAAATTTTTTCCTTCACAAAAAATGCACTGAAAAATGTAGTCTGTTAAATGCATTGCTATTTAAAGGGTCAAAGGTGGAACATTACTGAAATTTGCCTATATAACATTCATAGTTTCAGAATTGTCAAAGTACATGAAGTAGGATGAAGGAAACTCTTAACCAGAATCCAAGAAAAACACCACTGTTCAGTTATAATCACTGCCTCTTGCGTTATTAAGGAGACTTTTCTCCTTATTTTTATTGCACTTTTATTTTGTTCTCTCAAGTTAATCTTGCACTTAGATATCAAATACAGTTGGTCAAAAACTTTTATTTCGGGGCCTCCCTGATGGTGCAAGGGGTTAAGCACCGCACTAGGAAGCAATCCGCAGCCTCTGCAGCAGAGTTTGATCCCTGGCCAGGAAGGTCACCCACATGGCACAGCGGACTGCTCCTGTCTCACTTGCTGTTCCCCTTAGCAATGTATTTCAGTAGATCTGCCCACTTTGTCTCTGGTGAATCCTCTCATCCCCTGCATCTCTGACCTGTACCCCAGCTCTTGTATGCATAAATAAATAAATCTTTAAAAAAAAAACTTTTATTTATTTTGGGAAGAGAAATGAATCCAATATTACCTAACGTTGAAATGGAAAAAAGACTTGTATAAAAAAAAAACTTTGTTGATATTGAAATGGAGATTTAACATTTAAAAAACATTTGTATTAACTGAGTAGCATCCCTATGGTGAGAAGCACTGCATATGAATATAAGCCTATTATGTTATAAAAAGACAGAAATAAAAAAATGCACTTGTTGAAAGAACAAACTACTAACACAAAGGAAAACCTAGATGGATCTCAAGGGCATTAAGCTGAATGGGGGGGAAAAAGCCCATTTCAGAGATTTACATATTGTATGACTATACTTATATAAATTTAAAATGCATAAAATTATAGACATGGAAAACAGATTAGTGGTTGCCAGGGATTTGGGTTAGGGGGCATTAGGGGTAACACAAGGGAATTTCTTACAATGGTACCCTTTTGTGTCCTGATTGTGGTAATGGTTACACAAATCTACACCTGTGGTAAATATCATAAACTATACACCAAGGTGGGGGGAGGGGCGGGCATGTAAGCTCTATACATTGTGCCAATGCCAAGCTCCTGGTTTTGATAATGCAGTAGTTTAGGTAAGACATCAGTGAGAGGAATGAAGTAAGAAGTACATGGGAACCCTCTATTCTACTTGTAAAAATTGAATCTTAAATTATTTCCAAATAAAAATCTACTTAAATGTGTAAAAAGAGAAAGAAAGCAAAAAACTAACATACACTGAAGCCTGATTCTGGAGGTTCTAATTTAGTGGCTCCATGTTGGATTTGAATTAAATCCAATGAGTCTGTATTTGGATATTCATAGTAAAAACATATTTTTAAGTCTTGTCGAACATGCTAGGCTGAGGAACTACTGTCCTATGTAATACCCACTAGTGTTTACATAGATATTTTAACATATTTTTGAATTTACTTACAAAGAATAAAGAACTCAATTATTTTGACTTAAAATAGTCAATAACAAACATATTGAATATAAAAGATTAATTCCTAACTAGTTTTATTTATAAATTAGATTTATCTACTTAATGTTTGGATTCTGATATCCAAAGGCATAGGTAAATAATCAATAAATGTGTATCTAAGAATGGATGTCCTCTGTCATGAATGTAAAAAGGCAAATCATTTTAGAGATTATATAAACATTTACTGAAAGTTAAAATCAATTTTGATAGAAATATTTTTAGAGAATGATTCCAATTTGATCTCCTCCCTATTTTAATTTTGCTGAAATACCTTCCACTTTCCAGCTTTTTTTGTTTTCAAAGATCAGGAGGAAATCTTTAACAATTAGATTTGCTTATTAGAATTATACATATAGTAAATAGTTTCATGCTATCTGTATGTACCAACTTTTAGATGACCAGCCACTAATAAAGGTTATAAAAGGTATAGTTTCTTTCACCCATTATTAGAGATATTTCCCCTCCTATATATATGGAAGTTACCCAAATTTGGGCAAGGACAAAAAGAACTCCCATTTACTCCTATGTGCCAGGTTTTACAGTAGGTACAAATATTTCATTAAAGTCCCATAATAACCCACCAGGTAGGTATTAGCCTCCCTATTTACATTTAATGAAATAGAGCTGATAAAAGTCTATATAGCCAAAAGAATGACATACAATGCCATGAAACTTTAGAACAGAGAAAAAAAGTTACTTACCCAGTATATCTTTGTGAGTGTAAAAGCGTGTCTTAAATGGCTTGTAGTCATGGATCTTTTTGAAGATTTCACCAAAGGGGGGTGGTGGAACTATTTTATTACAAACAGCACAGCAAACAAAATTTGTGTAAGTCGAATTTCTGATCATAATTCAGTTTGTCTTTTACCATACGTAGTTAAAATATTCTTAGGATCAGAAAGATACTTCTAAGGAAAGCTAGAAATTTTAAGAAAGCTAGAAAGAGGCTCAAGGTTTTAGGACAATGCTAGAGGCTGGTTGAAATTAAATAATTTGCCATTACTAGGTAGCAGGTATGTGCCTAATGTAAAAGGACGGTACTGAAAGCCTCTGCCAGGTAAGATATGGGCACTGAATCTGGGAAGATTTAAGCAGGCACTCCCACCTACATGCTAGCATGGTAACTTTAGCAACTGTTGCTAGGTAAGACAAGCTTTGCTCACAAAAGCAACTAGAAATAATGATAAAAGGGAGTATGGTATAGTCGTTTATTTCCGAAACATTTCTGTATTCGTTTCCTTATTACTGTAACAAATCACCATAGTTTATCAACTTAACATCGCAAATTTACTAGTGATGTTAAAACAACACAAAAAAAAATGTAGTTCTGGAGGTCAGAAGTCCAAAATGAACCTTAGGCGGCTAAAACTAATTGGTCAGTAGGGCTGGTTTCTTCTGGAAGCTTCTGGGGGGAATCTATTTTCTAGTCTTCCAATTTACAGAGGTTATCTTCTTTCCTTGGCTGATGACTTATCGTCATATAGTCTTTTCTCTCCTTGTTTCCATAGTGACATCACTTCTTCCTCTGTTCTATTATTGTAATTATATCAGGCAGATAATAAAGGATAGTCTCCCCATCTTAAAATCCTTAACTTTATCATAGATGCAAAATCCCTTTGGCCCTATAAGATAACCTATTCACAGGTTCCAGGGATTAGGATGTGAACATCTTTGGGAACGGTGGCAGGGGGAAAGGGGAGAGAGTGTTGCTTAGTATATGACATTTTCATTTAACAAAAAAATCTTTATTTTCTGTCAATTTTATTTCCATCTTCTGTATCAGACTCTGTGGAAGAACAACTTAATATTACTCAGTGGTTGTTCCTACACATTCAGTGGCCTGAGCTATTAAGTGTTGCAGCCCAATCTTCAGAGGCAGGCTAAACACTCAAGTCTTTAGTCAGGAATCTGCATGTCTTCAGACCAGTTTTGACCTTGAATTGAATTAGTAGTAAATAGGGCAACTGGAGTAGTCCATTCACCCTGAAATTTCTTGGTCACACACTTTTTAGTAGCAAATCTGCTCTTCAATCTCTTCAGAATCTTTGCAGAATCTAGATATTAGGCATGATCTCCCATGGGTATTGATGGTTCCATGAATGCACAGTACTTCTGGGGCTGGTGTCTACCACACGAGACCCACTGAAAGAGCTACTTTATTACTGCAAGGATGGCAATGTCCACATAGTGTAGAGGAATGTCTATGACACAAAACAATGGTTCGCAGGTTATCAACAGATGCCTTTGTGAGAGGCTGGTGGTCTACCCTGAGATCAGTAACTAGAAGTCTCATCTCCCAGAATGCTGCTTGGATCTGGTTAATGAAGGCTCCAGGAGTGAAGCAGTAGCAGTAGCTCCAATGTCAGCAGTAAACTTCAGCACAGCAAACTGGCCAGTATTCACGGATGATGACACTGGCATCTGCCAGATTTTCAGTAACAACAGAGACATGAGCTGCCAGCAGAAGCTTCTCCCAGGTTCTCTTGAGATTAATGATGTACGTGTCATCATTTTTCTTTTGTAGATGTACTGTTCCATTTGGAAGTCAAGGTTGTTGCCCACCCAATGGGTTCCCGCTACAAGGAATTTGAGGACATCCTCTTCCTAAATTTCAGAGTATCAGGGGTCTGGATGTTGTGAAAGTTTGCCTTTAAGTAACAATGGGAACCCAGAACAACACCACCATAGACTCCTCTCTGAGTTGGGTGAAAAGACCCACAATTTTCTTTTAAATGGGTTATTTAAAGAATTTCTTTCAAGCCAAAAAAGGAGGGAGTTTAATTTTTTTTAAAGATTTATTTATTTATACATACAAGAATTGGGGTACAGGCTAGAGTTGTGGGGGGGTGAGAGGATTCACCAGAGACAGAGTAGGGAACAGAACAGGTGGATTGACTGAAGTGCACTGCTGAGGAGAGCAGAGGGAGAGTCAGGAGAAGTCTGCTGTGCCATGTGGGTAGCTGCCTGGCCGGGGATCGAACTCATACTGCAGTGGGCTGCGGATAGCTTCATAGACTGCATCTTAACCCCTTGCACCACCAGGGAGGCCCAGAGTTAAAATTTTTAAGTTAATAATAAATGTGAAATTTTGGTGCTGTGGCAATAAAAGTGGGGTGGGGGGAAGCAGAACCTTAAAGGAAAAATTACTTCATTAAGTCAGGACTCAAAATTACTAAGCCTGGTTTTCAAAATTACATAGTTAACTAATTTATTTTCCTTTTTTAAAAATGGAAAGTCCTGCACCCCAAGAACCTCCTCAGTGCCTGACAAACTGGAAAAGACTGGTCACCCTATAGAAGGTAAGACTACAAGCCAATAAATAACTTCACTCTTTGCTTGAGGAAATGCTTAAGAGCTAGTTTATCAACAGGTTGCTCATCTGGGTAAATAGCTCTCCCAACAGAACAGATTAGTACTTCCCTGGGAATAAAAGATCACGTGCTGCTTATCAATTGATATCAAGACGTGCCTCAAGACCTAATCTACTTTTCCAGTAGTGAAAAACCTTCCTTTAACTATTTGAATCCAGACTCCAAAATGCTATATCTTTCCCTGACCATCTTCCTATTAGATACAATTGATTTTGTTAAAGTGATATTTTCCCTTAGAGAATGAATGAAAACATCAACATACAATGCACACACAGACTATACTATTGATATTACATGCAACCACTCTGTAAAAAGTATCATAGGCACTTGTTCCTAAAATCCAATGTGATTTTCCCTCACACATTTTTTTCGAGTGGTGTGTCTCACTGAATCCACGGCTACCCTCGTTTATTCACATAGAGGTCACACAGCGTAGGGCTGTACTCCATACAGTTTTTCCTACACTTCAGCACAGTGTATGATCAGCACAGGGCTGGCATGATCTCTTTTTTTCTTTTAAGATTTATTTATTTATGCATACAAGAGCTGGGGTACAGGGCAGAGTTGCAGGGAGTGAGAGGATTCACCAGAGACAGAGTGGTGTCAGAGAACAGGCAGACTAACTGAAGTACACTGCTGAGGGGAGCAGCAGGCGAGACAGGAGAGGTCTGCTATGCCATGTGGGTTAGCTCCCTGGCAGGCTGGGGATTGAACTCGTGCTGCAGAGGCCGCAGATTGATTCACAGTGCTGTGCTTAACCCCTTGTGCCACCAGGGAGGCCCCCATGATGAGCTCTTGATAATTTAACTAACAGCTTCCTAAGCAAATATCAACCTATTTTGTAATATAGCAAAAGATTTCCAAAAAATGATAATACAACAGTAAATGTAGTCTACTGGGTTGTTGGAAAAGTCATGATGTATTTTTGCATAGAAAACATAGAAAAAATGAGTCATAACTTTTCTAACAACCCAATATTTCTTTAACAAAGTACACAGAGAAACTAAAAGCAAAAAGATAATTAAATTAAAATGCATGTTGTACCACCTAGGTGCATTTTAAACTATATGAAGTATAGTATACTACATACAGAGACAGCAAGGAAATATTTAGGGATCTATAACAATTTAATTTAACTGCGTGTCGATAACTGAATATTAACTCTTCATTATCTACAAGTCAGACACAATTGCATTTTTCTGTACCTTGCGAAACCATAATAAGGTACTAGAAATCAAAAAGTTACATTAAGATGATAAACTCTGCCTGTACAGTTATTATTACTTGGTAATAACAAATGAAATAAAATTCAGAGGTGAGATGTATTACTGAGCCCCAATAATAGTAATTGAGAGAGTGGGGTAAATATCTAGAAATTAAACAAGTCCAGAATCCTTGTCAGAAAGACATAAATCATACAAGATAAACCCAGGACCTTCTTATGTACTGATAGTTCTAGATTAAATGAATGTAAGAACATTTGGCTTCATCTTACATTATCACTGTAACATTAATTTACACAAACTAAAACAGATAATATTTAGTTGTAATCAAGTAACATCATACCTCAGTATAATACTACTTTTTTTTTTTTTTAAGAAAAACTTCAACTGGGCCTCCCTGGTGGTGCAAGGGGTTAAGCACCTCACTATGAAGTAATCCGCAGTCTCTGCAGCACGAGTTCGATCCCCGGCCGGCCAGGGAGCTATCCCACACGACACAACAGACCTCTCCTGTCTCGTCCGCTGCTCCCCTCAGCAGTGTATTTCAGTAGATCTGCCTGTTCTGCTCCCCACTCTGTCTCTGGTGAATCCTCTCACCCCTGCAACACTGGCCTGTACCCCAGCTCTTGTATGCATAAATAAATCTTTAAAAAAAAAAAAAGAAAAAGAAAAACTCCAATTACTGTAGGTTATGGTCTCATTTCACCTCTATTTCAGTAGTTGAGTAGGAGTATCTTTTCAATTAAAATAAAGGTGGACCAAAAATAGCTAATATAAAACCAAAATATATGTACCATCTGTGACTCTAAAAACTACTTGGCTTTAACGTTGACTATAGGCTTTACTTCACAAATATAGGTCTATGCCAGCTAGAGAATAAAGATTGCCTTTGCAAATTTCAAAATAAAAACCCTTACATCAGTGGTAAATGCACAATTCAAAGTATTTAAAATACCATGCACATTTAACAAACTGAGTTCTTTTATTATAGAGTTTATTAAATTAAAAAAAATAAAAAGACTTCCATTCTCCTGGCACTTCCACAAGAGGGGTTAAAGAAAAATATTGAGAAGCTCTTTCCATGGATAAAGAATAAGATAATTGCTGCAGTTTTGAAATAACAAAATTTACTGTAGTGGTCTGGTTTGCAACAGCTATCTTCTTTCCTCAGTATAATCTAAAACACGTAACAAGAATCTGTGCACTTACAAAGTCTTTTATTTGAAGATTTTATATGAAGATTTCCATGTGTAGTAACCAGCATTATTAATCCCATTTAGATGTTCTCCTCCTCATATAACTGTGTCCCTCACTATCAACAGCTTCATAGAGGTCTTTTTTATTCTCTTGCGTTGCATGTAGATAACCAATATAAGCCACACAAAGAGAAAGGGTTATCAATCCAAAAGCCATTACAGGTTTGTTCTGTTAAAGAAAAAAATTAAAAAGCCTCATTAAGACTAACAGTTTGAGGAGACCCAAACACTGCACATTCCTCTTAAAACATAAAGTCTTTATTACCATGCTAGTAGCATTCTTATAGCAGTATTTTCAATTATAATAATTTTAGTGTTTATTCAATTAATACAACTTTTGTTAATTTAGAGGTTCTAGAAGACTCCTGCTTCTCTTCTACAGTCTTTCTACTGTAGACATCTCAGACATTCACCTTCAGGAAGGTGACAGTTGGAGAAGAAGCATATGAAGGTCAGGAGGTAGGATTGGTCCAGTGCTCAGAATTTTCAGTGTTATCTTTGTGAAATGGAGAGGTTATTTAATGCCTCTGAGCCCAATCATCCCCATCTGCAAACATCAAATTAGTTCATTTTATTAGGAAGTAAGGAAAAAGTACATTTGCTATTTTTCTAATGTGAGTTCATGGATAAACTGGCAAAAGGCACTTCATGTCACATGTTAGATACAGCAAAAATAACAATAACTGTTCTCTGGGAACCTATTTTATTACTTTAAGAAATTTAGTGATTGGAACAGATAGTCTGTATGTATGCTGTTATAATAACCTAGAATTACTGCTGGAAAGTCCAAGACTATACAAGGGCAAAATGATGCAGTTCTGAAATTTTTTATTTTAAAAAGACTTTTATAGGAAAGATGTTCACAATTTCACAAAGTGTTTTGTTTTATCTATTACTATAACTCACTCTCTTTTGTGTGTTCACACTCAACAAATTAAACTATTTTAGGTCACAGTGAGTGCACAGTTGTGATACAAATGATAGTTCATATTTTCTGCCTGTTACCATAACTTCTATTATTATCATTATTCTACACCTTAATCAAAGAACAAAGGGCAAACCTTTTCACTTCAATCAATAGCTAAGAAAGGAGACAAACTCAAAACAGCCTAAATTTACATTTCTTGAAATACATTTGGCAATTAATAGAGTTCAAAAGATTTAAAAACATACTCCTTGATTTAACGATTGTTTTTGACTTTAAACAGTTTACACTGGCCACTGTTATTAAGATTCTAATCAAATTCAGTACATGTACACATATTTATAATAATTTGATTTCATTTACAATTATTTTATTTTTAAAGATTTACTTAGTTATTTATTTATACAAACACTGGGTACAGTCAGAAGCATGGGAGGGTGAGAGAATTCACCAGAGCCAGAGTTGGGAGCAGAGCTGAGGGGAGCAGCAGGCATGGCAGGAGAGGTCTGCATGCCAGGTGGGACCCTCGCCAGTGGCCGGGGATAGAACCGGTGCTGCAGAGGCTGCGGGCAGCTTCACAGCCCAGTGCTCAACTGCTGTGCCACCGGGGAGGCCCCATTTACAATTATTTTAAAACAAAATATCTATTGAAAATAAAATTTAGGGCCTCCCTGGTGGCGCAAGGGGTTAAGCACCACACTATGAAGCAATCCACAGCCTCTACACCACGAGTTCGATCCCCAGCCGGCCAGGGAGCAACCCACATGGCACGGCAGACCTCTCCTGTCTCACTCCACCTGCTGCTCCCCTCAGTAGTGTATTTCAGTCAGTCTGCCTGTTCTGCTCCCCACTCTGTCTCTGGTGAATCCTCTTACCCCCTGCATCTCTGGCCTGTGCCCCAGCTTTTGTATGCATAAAAATAAATAAATCTTAAAAAATAAAATAAAATTTATCAAACCAAATATATTCACCAATTTGGAATAATATAAATGATTAGCTAACTCCCAAACAGTATACAAATGTACATTTTGAAATCTGTCACAAAATGTTTGCAATATTCCTTAGGTAAAAACATTAATAAAGGTTAGAAGAATGATCAGATTTCCATTTTATTTTCTTGTTTGAATGGAGGTCTTAATTACTTAATAGTATCGGGTCAAACAAATTTCCTTCAAATTAATGCAACTATTAAAATAAAATTTTAAATAGATTGAGAAGTTTGAGAAGTAATTTATTAAAATGCACACATTTCCCATTACAGTTCTCAAATGTCTTCGAAATAGTTACATATGCATAATCAGTGAAAAAGTATTTGATTTTTCCTTCTACCTGCTTTTATTCAGAAAGGTCTCTGTATTTTATAAAATTTCTACAAAATCAACTGTTACAGTGTCATAAACTTTCTATTTCTGATAATCTAGTTAAATTAAACATCAAGTCTTATCCTGGATATATTTCTTACAGGTTTAATGAAGAGCTCTGGATTCACAGCTCTAAATAAGGTTGTGGTGCGGACCCCTCTGAGCCCCGGGTTTCGAAAGTCTTTCTGTTTGGGTGGTTCCTTTGTGGATTTCGGAGGCTCAGGTGCTGAAGACATCTGGACTTAGGATAATTATTACCTACGAAATAAAATAACGAGATTTTTTTCTCCTTTATGATTGTTTCTTTGATAAAGCTCTTTAAATATCATTGTATACTCATTTTCTTTTTGAATTCATGGTTAGATAATACCAAAAAAATGACTGTCACTTATTTCATTGATTTATGTAACCCATAACTTTGTATAACTTATGACTTTGTAAATGGTGCTTTAAGTTTTGTTTTGAAAAACTGTTAATTTTTTTGGTCTCAGAATAAACCCTTAAGGTAGGCAAAAGTTTTTTTTTTTTCCTTTTCTAACAGAATAGAATTATTTGTTGGTCTGAATCACATTGTATTTATTTCGGTGACTTAGGTACTAAGGGTAGGAGTGGCCAGTAGGTCATCCACACCTTTGCTTCCTTTCATTTTCGTTCTTCCTCACCTTCCAACAGATCTTTTGGGACATCAAAAGAAGTACTAGGATTCCTTTGCTCAAATTCTCCTACAACTTCACCCTAGGCCTACTTTTCCCTTCATGCGCCTCCATCTTCTTCCACTGGCCCACCCAAGCACCAGTACCACACAGGGAGGGTAAGTATCTGTATTCTTTCTCCTTGTTAAGGGAGGTGATAGGCAAAGAAACCTTTCAAAGAAAGGCTGAAATTAGTATTTGTAATATTATGTGTCAATATAATAAAAGTATATTATAATAAAAATTGGGGGGAAATGCTAAAATCCCACTAGATAATAAATGCTATTATGAAGAGTCATTTATATTTAAACACTCACTGGGTTTCTGTACCAGTATTAAATCTTCCATTTTATAGACTTTATAAAAGCAGTATTTTTTCAATTTTATTAGTTACAGAAGATATTGGGAGTATAGTTGTAACTAAATATTCAACTATAGTATAGCACTTAATTGGGTAAGTACCACATCAGGAACATCTCCTTGAAGGGAAAAAAAACTGCAACAATTTCTACATTTGCAAGGGTCTCTGAAATGTTCATAGCTGGCTATTTCATCACTTGTTCCATGTGGATGTTGTGGCTATTGTTGCCATCATCATTATAATCATCATCATGAACATCACTTTCTGGATCCATTTTCACATTAGTTAGCAATCCTGTAGCAATTTCAGGATTTGCCAACTTTTCAAAAATAGTTAAATTTCTAACTAGGGCCACAAAGTCTTCAAAATTAAACTGGCTTGGGATGAAGTGACAGTAACTAGGTACTAGAGTGGTTGAAATACCATATTTGGTTTTCAGTCTTTCTTGGGCATGTATATCAACCTAGAATCAGAGCAGTCAATGAACATTCCTGAAACACTGAGGGTTAGCTGACTCATCAGTGACAAGTCATCTCATCTTTTTCATCCAGGATACATTACAGCAAAATAGAGCAATCATCACTCTATGTTTACCACCTTTATGAAGTTCCCCTTGGGTACTTTGTAAACTATATAAGATAACAACTGGAAAACACTTATTTCATCACCATTCAAACTGTATCTGGCAATTGCTTTTTTCTCCTGCACGCAAATTACACATTTTCTCCACTGGAACACTGGGTTCTTTTTCACCACAGACAACTTCTGAAAAAATTCCTTAACATGCCTGAAAGTTGTTCCACCAACACAATTGTTTGAAACTCATCGTGCCCCAAAGGTTGGTAAAAATCCTATGTTTTCTGCTGAAGAAGTGGTCTAATTACATGCCTGTTTCTTGCACCAACTTTTTTGACAACACGCAAAATAACCATAAAAGGGACCTCACAGGTGCTTTGGTAGTGGGTGTGGTATGGTAACATAAACCTGAAGAGGTGTGCACCAATTTCCCTAAATCATATATAATGCTGTAAACTATCTCAATTTTTAAAAATAAGAGAAACCAAACAAAAAGAGTATCAAAAAGTCTATCAGAAAAGTAAAAACAATGGGGAGGGGTTACATATTAAGGCATTACCTACTACACTATATTTTAAGATTTAATGTACAAAATTTCTATTATTTGTGACACTTTCTGGAAAGCATGAAATAACATTTTCTACTATATGTGACATAAATAGTATAAGAAAGCTCAATTTTATTGCTGCTTCTCCTTTATGAGTTCTAGTCACCAAAGATACTACAAGTTATCGCCAAATTTCATGAACTTGTTTATACCAATGTGAACTAATAAACTTTAACCACATCTATATTTTTAATTTAAAAATATAGATTACTGAGGCCATTTATCTGAAAGGGTTTTTAATAACCAAGAATTTTTTATATGTAACTATAAAAACAAAACAATCTTCTCATTTATCTCTTAATCTGCCTGCCCCACAGCACTGTAAAAGGGAAATATCAAATAACACACACTGAGACTAGCAGGCAAGACTGGAACTTGGCACTGCCCTGCACCTGGCTATTTGATGATCAGTTTATGTGTGGGCCTGTTTGCAAAATACTCAATAAATTAGTTATCCATGGAGACACCACTGGCTGCACAATCTGTCTAGGTGCCCCTACTCTTAATTTTTTTTCATTTTTCCATTACCCATTTCTTGTTCCTTTATGCATATGAAACTGGTTTTTATAATTTTTAAAAATAGGAATTTTTTCATACATGCTGTAAAAGAGATTAAACAAATTTGCATTTGCTTCATATTTCCCTTCCTAATAAAAAGTTCTTTAATTTTTCAACCTATCCTCTTGTAAAGAAAATATGTAAAGGGGAAAGGAAGAAACAAAGGACTGTACTGTTGCACAACTCCATAAGAGTCATTCAAATTGTGAGTAATAAAAGTGACCCACTTTGTACTAATAATATACAATGTGGGAAGTTTCACAAGATAGTCCTTGACAGTCAGTATTGGTGGTTTTGAGTGATTTTCCCTCTTTCAGTAAAATTCTTGCTCAGGGGGATGATCCAGAAATTACTGGACAGCTGACACTAAGCAATTCACATTGCCATAACTGTATTATATTGCATATAAAAATTAAATTGATATAAAGAAAATGAGTTACTTAGAAAAAAAACTTAATTTTCAGACATACATTTTTGAAATAAGCATCTCAGCAGAAGTTAAATCAAATTTCCAGAATCATATAAGAGTTAGTGAGAAGGAGCCTTAGCAATAAGCAGTCTTTTAAGGGGCTTAGGAAATTATAAAACAGACGAAATATTTTCACAAAAATATAAATACACTTGTGATTGTAGTTCCACAACCATACTATCATAATATTTAAGAAATAACTTGACGTACGGGGCAGAGCACCTTAAAATAATTTAAGTTAATATAAATAAGTTTGGAGTAGAATCAAGAGGACTATCTGTCTTGAAGTAATCTAGCATAGCCTCATATTCCAACTGCGGCACGTATAAGCTGGACGTCTTTGAGTGAGAACCTTCTGAGAGTCAGTTTCCACCGTTATAAAATGGGTGCTATCTACGGCATAGAACTGATTACCTATGGGTTAAATGACTAACACTTTTTAAAGGATTTAACAAATGTTCAGTGTCTTCACCATCTAATCCAATCCCTTTGAGAGAGAGAGAGAGAGAGAGAGAGAGAGAGAGAGAGAGAGAGAGAGAGAGAGAGAGAGAGAAATCTACACTCAAAGAAATGAATCTTTGACAATGGGAGAGTGCAATAAACCAGGTCTCTCAACTTCCACACCTCCCCTAGGCCACCATCTCACACCTCCCCACCTATAAAAGGACTCTGCACTTATAAGCTAGTGCCATAAAATTGTAAACAAATTTATATGATCTAATGTTGTTTTAAATGGAAAATGTACTTTTTAAAAGTATCTTTCCATCTCTTGAATTTACTGTACCGGAGGGGGAAAGCTCTGGCACTGGCTGTTGCAAACGGTCTGCGGGTGTCAAGCACCCCTGGCCCACCCTCCCCCACGCCGGGCACCCTCACTGCAGCGGGCTGGACGCGTTGACCCCCCAAACCGACGAGTTCCAGGCCCCGCGCCGCAGGGTAAACTGCTATGAGCTCCCAAAGTCAAGCGGCATCTCACCTGAAAAGTCACTAAACTATTTCCTCCTACGTGGGAGAGTCTGGAGTGCCGGGACACCGAGAAACTACCCGGGGGATGAGAGGGGTTTGGAGGTGGAGGTTTTGGGGGGCACCGACCAGCGTCAAGCGCCTAGAAAGTAAGGGGGGAGACTGCGTGGGGCCAGGGAGCGCCTGGTTGGGTGAGGTTTCCAGGGGCCCACGGAGCGGCGAGGAGAAAATACCACCCAGGCCGCCGCACCTGGCCGTCCTGCGACCCCGCAGCCTGCGGGCCCGCGACCCTCGCCCGCCGCCGCTCACCCGCCGCCGGGTCACCTCAGCACCTCGCCTCGCCTCCGCCTGCGGGGAAGAGCGGCCCCGCGCGGTCGGCCAGCGCCGTGCGCAGCGGCCCCTACAGCCCGGAGGCTGCAGCGCAGGCGCGCGGGGGAAGGCGCAGACTGGTCAGACCCACACCCCTAGGGATGTTTGGAGTTTGCAAGTGGGGTGGGTTTCTTTCTTCCTTTTTTATTTATTTATTTATTTTATTTATACAAGCACTGGGTACAATCAGAAGTGCAGGAGGGTGAGAGAATTCACCAGAGCCAGAGCGGGGAGCAGAACAGGCAGAAGGACCGAAGTACACTGCTGAGGGGAGCAGGGGCGGCAGGAGAGGGCTGCGCGCCCTGTGGGACCCTCCTCTGGTGGCCGGGGAGTCCCCGGGGATCGAACCGGCGCTGCAGAGGCTGCGGGCAGCCTTGCTGCCCAGCGCTCAACCGCTGAGCCACCAGGGGAGGCCCTTCCTTTTTTTTTTTTTTTTTTTTTAAGATTTTTTATTTATACAGTAGCTGGGGTACAGGCCAGAGGTGCTGGAGGGTGAGAGGATTCACCAGAGACAGAGCAGGGAACAGAACAGGCAGATTGACTGAAATACACTGCTGAGGGGAGCAGCGGGTGAGTCAGGAGCCGTCTGCTGAGCCATGTGGGTATCTCTCTGGCTGGCAGGGGATTGAACTTGTGCTGCAGAGGCTGCGGATTGCTTCATATTGCGGTGCTTAACCCTTTGCGCCACCTGGGAGGCCCCAGATTATCTTTTTAGTTGATTTGGGGTTTACTTTTTAAAAGTTTATTGACAACAGGTATATATAATGAAAACTGGATCTTGAAGAAATATTTTTACTCCATGTTCACTGCAGCACTATTCATAGTGGCCAAGATATGGAAACAATTGTCCACTCATGGATGTGAATAAAGAAGATGTGAAATTATATATATGAATATTATTATTCAGCCAACAGAAAGAAGAACATCCTGCCATTTATGACAACGTGGATGAAGCTGGAGAGCATTTTGCTAAGTGAAAAAAGTGAGACAGAGAACGACAAACACTGTATGCCATTTTTATGTGGAATCTAAAAAAGCTGTTGAACTCATAGTAACATAGACTAGAATAATAGTTACCAGGATCAAAAACGTAGGGAGAATGGGAAGATACTGGTCAAAGAATATTGCTAAATTAATTAAACATGGAGGCCATTAGACTGGATAATTCTAATACTTTGGTGGCATATGTAAGTAAACAAAAACTGAAGACACTAAATGCTTCAAGATTTGAGAAATAAAGATAGCCGGATAACCAATCACAGTCAACTAGCTGTCAAAATAAATAAGCTACTACAGTAAAATAATTTCCTTTCTTGTCCTCCTTCCCCACTTCTCTGTATATGTATTTCTCTCCTGTCAAGTGCATACTCCTACTTGCATTTTGATGTTGCTTGATTCAGCATGGTTTTTGCTCAAATAAACTGAACGTTTTTAATATGCCTCAGTTTAGCTTTTGATAGTACAAACGTCAAGATATAAGATAAATAAGCTCTGGGGAACCACAGCAGTGATTATTAGAAAGCATATGAAAGTTTCTAAGAGATTAAACCTTAAATATTCTCACCACACAATAGCAATAGCAATTTGGTGATGCGATGAAGGTGTTAGCTAATCAATGGTGGTAATCATTCTACAATATATGTGTATTGATTGGGGGCGGAGCAACATGGCGGCGAGGAGACGCTGCGAGTAAGATCTCCCATTAAAAAAAGTTAATAGGGAGGAAAAGCGGCAGGTCCCAGTGAGAACCGGGACACGGAAGATAAACGGACGACTCCAGCAAACTGCCCGAAGAAGAAAGTGGCCATAAAAGAGGACCAGAAGGGAGGAAAGCGCAGAACCCTGCTCCCCTCCCCCGCCCACAGAGGCGGCACTCTCAGACCGGCAGAGAGGAGGAAAACAACAAACTAAAACTGCCAACAAGAACAAAGGACGCAGCAAGCGGGACTGGGAGTGGAAAGGAACTATTGCAGCCACCACACCCTGTGAACGGGAGCTGTGGAGAACCCCCGCAGGATCCGCCGCGGAGGTGAGCTCCGGGCGCCATTGAAGAGAGCCCCGCCCAGGAGGAGACCAGCCCCAGCACACAGCCCCGGCCGCCCGGTAAGCCTGCGCGGAAAGCGGCGCGCCGGAAAAACAGACGCGGAGCGGGATTGCGCGGGGAAAGCGGCGCGGATTGCGCGGATCGGATCGCAGCTGCCCAGGTCCCCGCGCCTGCGACCTAGGCTTGCGGGGAGACGACCTAGGCTTGCGGGGAGACGCGGAGGCCCTCCCGGAGTGAGCAGGAACCAGGCGCCCAGGCAGGGGAGCGGGATTCAAAAGGCGCCATTCCCGCGCCACTGATCTGGGCTACAGCCCGCGTCCTGGAACTGAGGGCTTTGGAACTGAGACCCGGGGCACGAAATTAGGGGTGTGGGTTCCCCACGACGGTGGGGCACAAGGCAGACACAGCACCCCAAAGCCGTTGAGGTGTACCCTACCATCCCTGCTCTGCTCCCTGTCCCACTGGGTGGAAAATCAGCTCCCCAAGGGCTCCAGGAGAGATCTCTGGCGCCACCGAGCGACTTGAAGCCAGCACAGGCTCCTGAAGCAGCTAGTGGCCAGCTGGGGAGTTAGCCCACGCCGGGCCCCTTCCGAACAAGTAGTCTGAGCCCACAGGGAGAGCGAGCACCCACAGCCGGGGCAGACCAAGCGCGCAGAAGAGTGTGCCTGAGACCGGACGCGCAGGAAGTGTGTCCCACATCACCATTATAGAATAGGGACATTTCTTCAGTAAAGACTACTTGCAGAAGGCTTCCTCAGGAGCCAGAGGTGAGCGGGGGAAGTTCGCCCACGCCAGAACCCCTCTGGCCTGCAGTCCAAGCCCAGAGGGGGAGCAGGAACCCACCGCTGGGGCAGACCAGGCGCACAGGGGAGTGTGTCCCCACATCGGCATTTTAGAACAGGGACCTTTCTCCAGTAAAGACTGCTTGAAACTGACAGATGACTCCTGGAGGAACCAGGGGGGAGCAGAGAAGCCCACCCAAGATGCCGGCCAGTCCCAACTACACAGTGTCCCAACGCATACGGCAAATTAGAAAACAGACAGTAGGGAGGAGAAGAACCACATGCAACCTAGCAACTCTCCAGAGAAAAAGCACACCACAAAAAGAAAACCAGCCCCCAGATGGCAACGACAGTAACTTGGAAGAACTTCTGAGCCTTCCAGAAAGAGAATTTAAAATTGCCGTGATTAAAAAACTGACAGAAGTCATAAAGGAAAACAATGATAAGGGAAAAATAATCAACGATCAGAAGAATGAAATTGAGTCCCTAAAGAGGGAAGTAAAAGAAATGCAGGAGATCAAAGAATTAATGGAAGAACTAAAGAATTCTGGGAAAAGCAATGAAAGCAGAATTGATGAAATGGAAGAACGAATAAGTACTCTTGAAGACACAGAAATAAAAAGAACCAAAACAGAAAAGGAAAGAGAAGTACGAAGGAAAAAGAATGAAGAAAGACTTCGGGAACTATCTGACTCCATGAGGAAAGGAAATATAAGAGTTATAGGAATACCAGAAGGAGAGGAGAGAGAAGTAGGAACAGAGAAAATATTCAAAGAGATAATTGAAGAGAACTTCCCAAATGTGAAGGAGGAGCTGAAAATTGATATACAAGAAGCAAGAAGAACACCAAACTTCCACGACGAAAGGAAAAATACAGCAAGACACATAATAGTAAAGCTCCCAAGAATCCAGGACAAGGAAAAAATAATGAAGCTGGCAAGAGGGAAGAAACAGATAACATTCAAAGGAAAGCCAATCAGGCTGACATCAGACTTCTCCGAAGAAACACTACGGGCAAGGAGAGAGTGGAGGGACATAGTCAACAGACTCCAAGAAAACAGATGCCAACCAAGAATACTCTATCCCGCAAAGCTCTCCTTCCTCTTTGAAGAAAGAATATGGACTTTCCCAGACAAACAGAAACTCCGGAATTTCATTGCAACTAAACCCCCACTCCAAAAAATACTACAAGGAGTCCTAAAGCCAGAACCTCAGAGGGACGAATAACAATGAAAGAAGGCCAAAAAAAAAAAAAGTTATTAAAAGAATAAATAAATAAAATCAAAGGAAAGACAAACACAATGGCAAATACAGATGTTAACATATCAATATTAACTCTAAATGTAAATGGACTAAACTCTTCAATAAAAAGACACAGAGTTGCAGCCTGGATTAAGAAACAAAACCCAACCTTTTGCTGTCTCCAGGAAACACATTTAGCTACAAAAGATAAAAATAGGCTCAAAGTTAAAGGATGGAAAACAATCCTACAAGCAAATGGACCAAAAAAGAAAGCAGGAACAGCTATACTTATATCAGATAAAACAGACTTCAAACTCAAAAAGATAAAAAGAGACTCCAATGGTCACTACATTATGATCAAGGGGACAATACTTCAAGAAGAAATAACACTCATTAACATATACTCACCAAACGAAGGAGCACCAAAATATATCAGACAACTGTTGTCCTCTCTGAAAACAGACATCAGAGAAAACACATACGTAGTGGGAGACTTCAACACACCACTATCAACAATGGATAGATCAACAAGACAAAAAATAAGTAAAGAAACCAAAGCTCTAAATAAGGACCTAGAGCAATTGGGCTTAACAGACATCTATAGAACACTAAACCCCAAAAAAACGGAGTACACATTTTTCTCAAGCGCACACGGATCATTCTCCAGGATCGATCACATACTGGGGCACAAGACAAACATCAACAGATACACCAAGATTGAAATCATATCAACCATCTTTTCTGACCATGAAGGCATCAAACTAGAAATAAACCATAAAAAGAAGGCAAGGAACTTTCCTACCTCAT